TGCGGTTAAATAGAGAGGATCTGGAGAGAATTGCAGAAATTGGTGAAGGGTAAGAGATTGTAGAGGACATAAATACAGAACCACTCACACAAGCTGAAATAAAGGAAGCATTACAAGATATGAAGACAGGAAAAGCACCAGGAATTGGCAGCATCAATGTTGGTCTACTTAGGGTTATGAAGAAAACAGCTGGGAGAAATGGGATCAGATGGAACTTTATGAAGAAATCAGACGACCTAGACTTCACCGACGACATTGCTCTGCTATCCAACACAAGAAGCCAGATGCAAGAGCAACTAGATCATTTAAATATGCATGCAAAATCAACTGGACTGAAAATTAACATAGACAAAACTAAAGTGATGAGACTGAATCCAAAGAGCAGGGAGCCAATTATCGTAGAGCAGAAGGAATACAGGAGGTTGAAAAGTTCACTTACCTTGGAGCAACAGTCAGCAGAACTGGTGGTGCAGGAGAGGACATGAAACAAAAGATTGAAAAAGCCTGGGGTGCCGTAAACAAGCTATCAAAGATATGGAGGAGTGGACAATTAACACATGAAATCAAAAGCAAAATTTTCAAGAATATAGACCCGATGATTATACTAGATATGAAATAGACCCATTGATTATACTAGTTAGGATATAGACCCAGTGATTATTCTAGCTAGAATAAAGACCTGATGATTAAACTAGATATGATATGGACCCAATGATTATACTAGTTAGGATATAGACCCAATGATTATACTAGATATGATATAGACCCAATGATTATACTAGTTAGGATATAGACCCGATGATTATACTAGATATGATATAGACCCAATGATTATACTAGTTAGGATATAGACCCAGTGATTATTCTAGCTAGAATATAAACCTGATGATTAAACTAGATATAATATAGACCCAATGATTATACTAGTTAGGATATAGACCCAATGATTATTCTAGCTATGATATAGACCCAATGATTATACTAGTTAGGATATAGACTCAATGATTATACTATTTAGGATATAGACCCAATGATTATACTAGATATGATATAGACCCAATGATTATACTAGTGAGGATATAGACCCAATGATTATTCTAGCTATGATATAGACCCAATGATTATACTAGTTAGGATATAGACCCAATGATTATACTAGTTAGGATATAGACCCAATGATTATACTAGATATGATATAGACCCAATGATTACTGTATTCTAGCTATGATATAGACCCAATGCTTATACTAGCTAGAATATAGACCCAATGATCATTCTAGCTATGATATTGACCCACTGAATATACAAGCTAGAATATAACCCCAATTATATTACTAGCTAGAATGTAGACCAAGTGATTATACTAGATAGAATATAGACTCATTGATTATTCAAGCTATGATAAAAACCCAATGATTATACTAGCTAGGAAGTAGACCTATTACTTATACTAACTGGGATATAGACCCATTAATTATACTAGCTTGGATCTAGACCTAATGATTAAACTACGTGTAGCTAGGATATACACCCATTGTTTGTACTCTCTACAATTTAGATGCATTTTATAGTAGCCAAATATCGTTATGATTATATATATATATGGATCCGTTGAATATGCTATCTACAATGCATTGGAGCCTCACAAAGTGGTAAAACTGGCTTTAGATCTTGTTGACCTACGACGTTGGCCTCAGGTAACCCATTAGACACGTTGATGCGGTATATGCGCTAATGTGTTCGCCTATATCTAAGCTGTCAGATGTATACGTTGGTATAGTAG